GGGCCCGGTCACGTAGGGATGGCTGTGGCGGAGAATGGCTGTGAGGGAAAGAGCCCAGGAGAGAAGACCAGAATGAGCCCAAAGAGAAAAGCATAGAGATTCACTGGGGCTGGGAGGCCTGCAGGCTCCCAGCCCCAGGCCCTGCCCTCCCAGCGCCCGGCTGCCGCACTGCAGCCTGGCGGTGCTCTGCCTCTGGGGAGCAGCCCTAGGTGAGGCCAGCCTGGAACATCAGTCACATCTGACGCCTGGTGAGTATGTGAAGGGTGTCCAGAGGGGGAAGTGGGGGGCTCTTTGAAGGTAGAACTGCTGGGACTGGGTGACCTATTGGGGGAGCGAGGGGCTGGCAGGGAGGGAGACAGGTGGCTCTGCCTGGCCTGACCTGGCAGCTGGGTAGGTGATGATGTCATTTCTGGAGAGGAGAGGCAAGGGAGCCTTATTCCAGGCAGGGAGGGTGCAGGGTAAATGAATTAATCAGGCTGTTTACGCCACTAGCTTCTGTGGCTATCACCTGCAGCCTTGATGGTGTTAATGCAGGAGGCACTTGGGAGTGTGGGCGCAGGGCACGCGTGCCTGACTGTGGACCCCTGAGTGAGGGCAGGCATGCATGTGTAAGTGTGCACACGTAAGCCTGGAGGCCAGGGCTATAAGGGTGGTGTCACTCAGAGACGGGCTGCGGCTATGGGAGGACGAAGGGTGTGACTACAGAAGAGGTGGGGCCGCGCCCCAACGCCAGCAAGGCGGGAGAAAGCGGGCTGAGATGCGCTGGGGGCTGGGACGCTCATTGGCCCGCTGGCCCCCAGCACCCCCTGCCTGGTCCGTGCCTGCCTCCTTGCACGCCAGCCTCCTTGCCTCGTGTGCCTGGTTCCTGAGAGCACATGGTTCCTGGGTAGGTGATGATGTCATTTCTGGAGAGGAGAGGCAAGGGAGGCTTGAAAAGTCCACTAAGGGCTCCAGAACCCTCCTTTGGCTCTCTGCCTGAACTGATCGAGAACCTGCCCTGTGCGTGCTTGCAAACAGAGGGCCTGAGGGGCAACTGAGGCACAGCCCACTAGAGATACTCAACAGGCACAGGCCGGTCTAGAGATCCGGAGAAACGAAAGGCCAAAGAAATGAATGCATTTGTGCAAGGAAGGCCGCAGGACCAAGAAGGCTACATACATTTTGCCCATTGGGTGGGGCAGGGACTTACGGGGCACATATTAGGAAAAGAAAACAGCCTTAAAAAATGGAACAAGGCAGCACAAATTTCAGGAAAAAAACGAGTAATTCCATTCAGCTTAAGTGCGGGTTGCATGAGGGCAGTTCCGAGACTGATGCACCCGAAAAGCAGAGTTCCCGAGCCAGGGAGCAGAGTCTGGCCACAGGCGGGGGGCAGCGGGGGCCCACCAGGGCTTCTGAGCGCTGGTAACATGAAGGCCACACTCTGACGCCCAGCGGTGCAGGCTGCATTGAAACATCAGAAGAAAGGGACCCAGACAGGGACCATCGCTAACTTGTTCATTCAACAGTGAACTTCTCTGCAGGGCAAACTTCCTCTAGCTAATCTCCAGCCTCTCATGAGCCGAGGATTTAGACACCCGAACGCTTTGTGTTCATAATGCAGAAAAAGTAAGCAGGTTCTACTGAGGGTAGCGACGCGAAGCGAGACAAGCCAGCACAGACAGACACTGATGCCACTTACGCCAGGTGGTCAAATACATAGAGAAAGTAGCATGGTAGGTGTTGGGGCTGGAGGAAAGGCAGCTGTTTAGTAAGCACGTGGGGAGCGTTCTGGAGAGTCCTGGAGAGTCCTTGCACGGCAAAGAAAAAGTACTTAACGCTGGCACGACTGCACTGTATGCTTAAAATTGGTTACAATGATAAACTTTGTTATGGACTTTACCACAATGAAAAAAATTTTTTTTAGAGATTTTATTTTTGCATAGAAGAGCTGGGGTGTAGGCCAGAGGTGCGGGGAGCGGGCTGAGAGACAGAATGGGGAGCCAGAGAAAGAATGGGTGGCCAGAGAAAATGGGGAGCAAATTAAGCAGATTTTACGGAAATACACTGCTGAGGGGAGCAGTGGGCAAGACAGGAGAGGTCTGCTGCGCCATGTGGGTAGCTCCCTGGCCGGGGATCGAACTCAGGCTGCAGAGGTGATAGCGCTGAGACTTAACCCCTAGGCCACCAGGGAGGCCCTGAAAAAAAATTTTAAGGAGGTTTCAGAATGGTTCTTAGGACAAAACCCAGCTCTAAAGAGGAAACATCTACAACAGTAACTCAAAAGGCTAATAATAAAAGAACAGGAAAGAGATAGCAAACACATGCAAACACCAGGGCTCTGATGCTGATATGTGACAAGACAGAATTCAGACTCCACACAGCGCAGGAGAAGAAGATATGAGTCAATAAATGACACAACAGCGTTTTCATAAAGCAGAAATTACAGGAAATGCAAGAAGACATAGAAATGATAATAACAGGGCCTCCCTGGGGGCGCAAGGGGTTAATACACAACCTATGAAGCTGTCTGCAGCCTCTGCAGCACAAGTTCTATCCCCGGCCAGAAAGCTACCCCCATGGCGCAGCAGACCTCTCCTGACTGGCCCGGGGCTCCCCCCAGCAGTGTATTTCTGTCAATTTGCCTGTTCTGCTCTGCTCTGTCTCTGGTAGATCCTCTCACCCCCCACACCTCTGGCCTGTACCCCAGCGCTTGTATGCATAAATAAATCTTTAAAAAAAAAAAAGAAATGGGCCTCCCCGGTGGCGCAGCGGTTGAGTGCTGGGTTGTGAAGCTGCCTGCAGCCTCTGCAGCGCCGGTTCGATCCCCAGCTGCCAGGCGAGGCGTCCCACATGGCGCGCAGACCTCTCCTGCCGCCCTCTGCTCCCCTCAGCAGTGTATTTCGGTTCTTCTGCCTGCTCTGCTCCCCGCTCTGGCTCTGGTGAATTCTCTCACCCTCCCGTGCTTCTGACTGTACCCAGTGCTTGTATAAATAAATAAATCTTTAAAAAATAAATCTTTAAAAAAAAGGAAAGAAATGCTTGTAACAGGAGGTGGAAACATACCACTTTCTGGTCAAGACTCATCAAAGGGTCAAAAGAGTAAGAGCACAGGAAACCTACACACAGACTACATGTTCTAGGTACATGTCGAAATGGGCACCCCAAAAAGAAAGCATCCCTTTAGACATGCATTGTGAAACTGATACATGTAGGGTTAAGTGATGGTCAGGCTTTTATGTCACTGGCCTCTGTGGCCATCACCTGCAGCCTTGAATGCGGGAGGTGCTTGGGAGTGTGGGCTTGGGGCACACATGCCTGATTGTGGACACCTGGAGTGTGGTGTGGGCACGCCTAAGTGTGCACACCCGAGCCTGGAGGCTAAGGCTATAAGGGCAGCATTACTCAGATGGCTATAGTGGAGAACAGCTATGAGAGGACGCCAGAGAAAGCCCAAAGAGTAAAGATTCGTGGGAGGCTGGGAGGCCTGCCAGCCTCCCGGCCCCCCAGCCTGCCTGCCTTGCCAGCCTGTGGGCTTGCCCCACAACGATTGGTGTAGAAAGATCAGTAAAGCCTGAAAAAGCCACTGAGGGCTCCAGGACTCTCCTTGATCCACTTGGCCAAATAGAGAACCTGCCCTGTGCATGCTGGCACAACAGAGGGCAAAAGAAACAGCAAAGCTTCGCCCAGTGGGCTTATGGGAAAAAGGATGTATCCACAGAAACACTGAATATGAAAATGCACCAAGCTGAGAAACAGAAGTGACTATTGCCACTCACTGCCGGGTGGCCTTTCTGCCTCTCCCTGGTCCTCTGACACTTTCTAGAGTCAGCCCGACAGGTGAGGCATGAACATGTCGTCTTTACTGTCTCCATAGCGTAGCATCTGCCACCGTTCACCACGAGCCAGCTACATGCAGGTCTGTATTAGAAGCGCCTTGTCAAACGTACGGTGAAAGGAAGCTTTCTGCTTCTCTTATCACCTTCAGGGCCCCAAACATTGCCAAGTGCATTTTAAGTAAGTGATCCGTGAGGACTTACAAGCCGTGGGATGCTGAGACCAATTTCACGAAACTCTGCTCTGATACTTATTAGCCGTGTGACCTTGGGCAAGTTAAATGACCTTCCTGAACCTCAATTTTCTCAAGCATAAACACAGATAATAGTAACACCAACACTAATGAGGACTGTTCAGAAGTTTAAATGCAAACACATATGAAGTGTTCAGTGATAGTCCTCCACAGTAGGCAATCAATAAATGTTAGTATGAGGTTGAGGAATAGAGGAACTTATCAAACAGATAAATATAAAGTAGGGGTTTCTTTTGTTCTCAAAAAAATCTTTAAATAGAAACATGTGCTAATGCACTCGTAATCATTTTTTAAATACCACAGGGGTAATAGTGACATAAGTTATGGTGCAACATATTGTGGAATACTGTGCTGCCATGAAAAAGGACATGTATCAATACATGGACACACAGATAAATGGCCATGTTGGGGAGAAAAGGGAAGGCTCCAGAATATGGACAGGATAGTTCCGCTCTCCACTTAAAAAATAATTAAATATGTAGAAAGGTTTGGGAAAATATATATCTACTTGTTATAGGAGAGTAAGGTTGGGAACTTGTGAGAAGTTTCTCTTTTTACATCCCAGTTTCTTTTATAGTTTCCAATACACACACACACACATCCACACGAGAATAAACAGCAGAAAGAAAAAGTCATGTAATTCTCTTTAGCCTGGATTTTTTACAGGACTTCGAAAGCAGCTAAACAGAAGGGGGGGACCATTCTCCTGGCAAGCATGAGGATTTCCATGCCCAGTTTTTCTCTTTGCGAGAGAGGCTGAGGGGGGCAGATGGATTGCTCCAGTGTTACTCATTACTCAGCACATCCCCACAGGTAGTCTCTCTCTCGTCCCTGCCACCACTGCAGCCCTGACAGAGGAACAGAGAAACTCTTTGCTAGATGTCGGCTGAAATAGAGCAATCAGCTGAAAGCCATTTGCTGAGTTGTCTGACCGCCCTGGGCTCGAGGTTTTCCTTTATTCATTTATCATGATATACGGCTTTGGCCAACACACACACAGGAGAGAAATTGTTGACATGTGGGACCCAAGTACAGAAAATCTTTCATTTTCCCCCCGTCTGTTCACCAAATAAGTTTTTGTTTATTTAAAGACTACAGAGGATTTGGCTGTTAAGAACCAAATGCCTTTGGAGTGGAGTTACAACATAATTTATCATTTCCTCTGTTTATTAAAAAATCCTGCATCTTTGAGAAGCACATTTGCAGTGAGTGGGGGATTTCGGCCACTCACGAAAGACTTGCAAAGCCCTCGCCATGTGGCTTACCCCCTGAGAAGGCTCTTGATTGCTATTTCTATCCCTGATCTCCCCCAGCTGACTTCCGATGGTGTGATGGCTACTCGGCGCTGGCAAATCGGGTCGGAGCGAGGACAGGTAAGTGGGCAGATTGTGTTGGCTTCTTTCATCTTTGAACGAGTTCTGCCCATGAATCCCACGCTGTTATGTAGTGTGCTCGGGCCGTACAAGCAGGGCAGGAGTGCGCCCACCGTTACCTCTAGGAGGGACAGAGTCAGGCAGCAGAGACCAGTGGGAGGCTGCTCTGAAGGCACACACTAGGATCCAGGGGCCCGGCTGAGAGGCAGACACACAGCAGAACTGGAATGAACTAGTTTTTCCCCGAGACATGGAAACTTGGTCCAGGGTGCCAGGCACTCCTCAAGACAGGGCTCCCTCTGACCCATTTTGTGTCCCTAGGGCATAGCCCAGTGGCTGACCTAAAGTTGGTGCTAAGAGTTTACAAAAGCAGGGGTCGTGAGGGGTGGAGACACGCTGCGGGGCAGACCTCCATCTGAACCCCCGTCCGCGGCGCGAGCTGTGGGTTCCTCTCTGCGCAACCTGCGCTCTGGAGGATGAGGCTGAAATTGGACGATGAAAGCCTCTTATCACTTACTAGCTTTGTTACTTTGGGCAAGTATCCTAATACTGGCAAGTCTCAGTTTTCCTATTTACAAAATGGAAATAATACAAGTTCACTGTGAAGGTTAAAAATACCTCCCAGAGCAGTGTCTAGCTCACGATGGCTACAGAATGAACGAATGAACGAATGAATGAACCAATAGAAGAAAACATTATTGGAGGGAAAACACTTAACTCTGTACCCACAGAGGAGCCACAACAAACCACAAGCCTGTGGCAGCCCTGGAGGGAGGGTATTGCATGACCAAGCGAACGCTGAGGACAAAGACCAGGGTGGAAAATGACAGGATGAAGTGTCAGGATTGGGGAGAAAGGAAAAGAAGCCAGCGCTGTTGAGGAGCTACTACGTGCGACTCATCAACAGCCTCTGAGTGCCTACCATGTCCCAGGCATGATGCCAAGTTCCGAGGAACTGAAGATGTACACACTGGTTATCAAAAGAACAATTAAGGTTCCGATAAGAACAGCAGACAGTGCTATGAGAGGCGATAGCAGGGGCGGGAGGTTGGGAGGAAAAGGAAGACTTCCTGGAGGAAGTACGATAGGAGCTGAGCGCGAAGGATGAACTGGCCGGGAGGGGAGCGGAAGAGTGGTCCAGGCAGAGAAGGAGCGAGTGTGAAGATGACTCAGGGGCACAGGACTGAATGTGCAACACACGGACAGGTCTGGAGAACAGGGATTCAGACGGACTCTGCTCTCCTTGGTGGTTATGCGTCCCACTTTATTCAGAGCTGTATTCGGTGTAACGGGCCTCCAGCAAAGGTCTGCAGTCACAGGTGAAGGTCCCAGCAGATTTCAGGTTGGGGACAGGGCCCAACCCATCATTTGAAAAGGAGATTCCCGAAACAAGGAGCAGGCGGTGCAAAGCTTGTCCAGGGTCCTAGTCACTGGGCAACGTCACAGTTGAGGTAAACGCCCCAAGTAAAGGCCCCTGGAGCCTCCCTCTGAGAGGGACCCGTGCCAGAGGCCCAAAGCAGGGGGACAGGAGGGGCAGGAGGAAGCGATGAGCAGGTCTGGGTGTCCCTCCAGAAGGCGGGGGCCTCACAGGGTGGACCACTGAACTGTGACAGTCTTCCACGCGCACGGGGACGAGAGGTGACCATCTGCCACCCGAGGGCTCCGCGAGAAGCCAGGCTCTGGGGTTCAGGGGCCCTGGTGGACTTTCACCCAAGGAGCTCTTTGGTCTTCACGGCCAAATGCCGATCCAGCTCTGCAACTGTGTCATCGGCCATTTGGCTGATCTGCAGAAACACAGAATGGGAGAGTCTGGTCACCAAGGCTGGAAACAGGCAGGGGACAAATAATCCAGAACTATGCAAAGATCGCCTGAGAGACAATAATGGTGACAGAAGCTCATATTAATTGAGTCCCAGCCAGGCACTATACCAGGAACTTTCTACAAATACTTTTACTGATTCCTAACAACAACCCCATGAGTGAGATGTTACCGTAATTCTCATTTCACAAAAGAGAAACTGAGGCTGTTAGACCACTTGTTCAGGATAGAGTTAGAGAGCAGCCATGAAGAAATTTAATCCCAGGTGGTCTGATTCCACAGCCCCAAATTCTGAACTATTATTATAGAACACAGAGACACCAGCCTATCTGTCCCTTAGTGGATGTAGAATTTCCTACACCTCAGGAATCTCTGCTATATAAAGCCCTCCTACTAGCTGAGAAGAAGAAAATTAAGATGTCAATAATTAGGTAGGGAAAAAAATGTGTCTAGAAAAAAAGATGAAGTATATCTGGTTAACAAACACAGAAAATTCAACAGACACTGAAGAAATGCAAATTAAAACAAGATATAATTCAGCTATCACAGTTAACAAAAATTTGATGTTGCGGTTTTTAATTACAATATTCACTGCCAGAAAGCGCTGGTGAAGTGGATAAGCTTACATCACCCGTACGAGCCAAACAGGCAAAAGTTCCTACCGTTTTTCAAGCCCCAACACCCTCAACTGGGAAATTCTCACCACACAAATCTTAAAAGATTTTCTTAAGTTTTATATGCAAAGATAGTTACCTAAGCTTTATCTTTAATAATGAAAAATCAGAAAACTCTAAAGTGACAGAATGGAAAAACAGCCGAATACATAAAAACAGTTAAGACTATTGCTTACAGAGAGGGTATATATATGGATAGAATTTTGGATAACATTTCAGTTTATATTTCTGAAATATTGAATGTCTGAATGTTTTATAACAAGCATGGGATGTTTCTGTAATCAGAAAAAAATAAACGTTTCAAGATATTATTTATAATATCAGGGGAACATGGTCACATACCCTCAATGAAAGAAAAAGCAGGATACAAAACTGTGTACACACAGTAGAAATGATTTCAAATGTTTTAAAAATATGCATATTTTTAAAGCTGGGAGGATACATGTCAAAATATTAATAGTGATTATCTCTCAGTGACGGGAAGATAGGTGATGTATTATTCATGCCAGTCTCTGTCACAGCCAGCCTAAGACCTAGCACATAGCAAGTGCTCAGGAAATATTTACTAAATGAATAAATATTAAAGTTTCCTGTGCGCTTCTCTATTTCCCAGGTTTTCAGTAATAAGTATGTTCTCCCTCTAAGAATAAAAAAACAAAACAATACAATTTAGTCAGTGTCGCAGCCTCCCTCCTTGTCCACGAGGGGCCTGAGGCAGGAAGCCGGGGCAGGAAGCCTTGAGGGGTGGTGTGGTGCCCAGGATCTGGGTGTTCAGCACCGCAGCTGTGTGACACCCTATTTACAGACCGAAGGCCTTGGCCAGGAGCTGAGAGCCGCATGAACCAGAAGGGGCAGAACCTCAGAAGGATTTAGAGACAGCAGGTTCTCACCATGGCAACAGCTGCACATTTTTCAGCAGGGAAAGCAGAGCTCAGGCTGCCAGCACATGGGAGGGCCCTCCTCACTCGCCACCCCAGCCCCTCAGCGGCTTCCTCTGCCCCCACCCACACAGTTGCTTGCATGAGGTGTGGTGGGGTGCCCAGCAGCACCCCAGCACCTGCAGGCTGGCAGCTCCGGAGAACCAGGAAGGAGGCGGCCAGCTTTCTCTGGGAAAAAGGGGACAGCGACAGGGACTGGGGTGGGGGTGGGGGAAGGGGACCTAGAGTAACATCGCTGTACATGGGTTCTGGTTAAGTGGGATGTCTCAATGGGGTGACAGTGGACAAGCCATTTCCCTGCTGTGGGTCTGAGTTTCCTCATCTATCAAATGGGGACGCCCGTGCCTTCCTGAGACAGTGGCTGTCAGGGTTAAACAAAATCATGAATATGCAGGTCGTTTTAAACTGGTTATTTGCTATGCAAATAATACTGCTTGTGTTACTCTGATTTTTTACTATCACTTCCTGACTTCTTTTCAATTAATCAATTAATGAAAATATTTACAAACCTGCTCCCATAGTACCGGCACCAAGTGCCCTTGGGACAGTATGCCTGCAAGTGCATCTCTTCCATCATCATCATCAGACTTCTTAAAAGGATGATGATTAACAACAGCAAGATGCCCATACAGCTCCCACGTACTGAGTATTTATCACATGCCAGACACGGGGCTAAAAACTTCACCCACTTTTTCACATTATCCTCAGAACATCCGAAATACCATTATTTCCCTTTAACATAAGAGGGATGATAATTATTCACCTGACAGTTGCTTAGCAGTTCATACTATGCACAAGTGTTCTGTCCTCTCTTACTTGGTTCAAATCCAGCAACCTCACCTAACCTCTGCAAGGCATGCAGAACAGGTATTTTCCACATTTCACAGAGTAAAAGAGTTAAACCACGTGAACTAACCCGCCCAAGACCACAGGAGAAGTCAGTGAGTGACGGAGCCAAGCACTCACTCACCCTGACTGCGGGCATGGGGCTGCCACTGCATCCGGGGCCCACAGCACCTGGCCTCGTCCTTCCTCCTTCAGATAAGGTTTAAGGTCAACCCCAGCTCCACCTTCTGAGTCACAAGGTTGGGAGATGGAGGTGGATGGACAAGAAGGCCAGTTCTGAGTTTCCGCAACCACGCCAGCCCCACACGAGTCTGCTGTGGCATGTGGTCCTCTTACCCAGCCCGCAAGGCAGGCATTGCTGCTCCCACTGCAGAGTTGAGGAACAGAGGCTCAGAAAGGTCGAGGCCATTTGCTGACCTGAACTGCCAAGAAGTGAAAATGTTAGGACTTGATCCCAGGTCCTTCTGACTCCAACGCAAGAGCCTTTTCCTTTACAATAAATATAAAACCATAAAGATGAAGACATCATGGTGGTAATCACTGTCATTGTCATCACCTTCGCTCCCACATGTTCAGGAAAATGAAAGGCAGAGACAGAGCAAGGGGATGGCAGGAAGCTAGAATACATCTGGGCAGGCTTGGGTAACGCACTGTCCTTCCGGAGGCCTGGCTCGCAACACCCACAAACCACAGGGTGCTGCTCCCAACTGCTGCCTCACGCATCCCACCTACGGGCCTGCCCGCCCGCCTGCTGGGAGTCTGCCCTCCTTCAGCCCATCTCGCGCCGGCTTCGCTGCAGAGCAGTCTGTTTCTCAGAAAAGGCAGCAGTGAAAGGATCTTGGCGGGATTTACTGGCGGTTTCTGCCAAGGGCTTTAATGTTCAGCAGGCCCATTTATAGCAAACAAAAGCGAAGGTGAAACAGCAGGCCGGCAGATGTCAGAGTCCTGGGTGGGAAGACCCGGGTCCTTTAGCAGATTCAGGCTGGCCAAGGGGCTGAGAAGTTGGAGGGAGGGCGGGCTGGGGTCTGATGCGATTGCAGAGCGACACCTACAACAACGGACTCGTTCATGCCTACACACCAAAGATGACACTTTTTTATGATGCAGTTTTTAAAAATATGACCTTCGAAGAATTTTGGAAAAAAAAAATTTCACAAAGAATGAAGTTAAAATTGTTCATAATCCCATTACCTGGATGACCACCATTCACATTTGACGTGGATAAGCTGCCCATCTTTTTATATACATCAAATGTTTCATTATAAAAATGAAATCATATAATACTGTTGTGTAATCTACATGTCTTTAAAAATATTTACCAAGTCTATAAAATATTTTTGTAACTCTTTAATGATTCAAATGAATGGACATTAAACAACTTAATTTCCACTGTCCAAAATTTATTCAGTTTCCAATTCTCTACTATTTATATATAGCACTTCTAAAGGTAAGATTCCTGACAATTTATTTTGGACAAATTCCTAAGTTGCTGAGTCAGAATGGATGAATTTTGGTATATACTATCATCTTATCCTCTAGGAAGGTTATGTGGAATTATATGATTATATAATCAACTTCTGTGGAATGTGAAAGTAAAAGCAATACTTCTGAGATAAGCAACATTTTAAGTTCATAGTAAAAATTCTAGTTTCAAATGACAGGAATTAGAAAAGGCAAAATAAAAATAAACAAAACCATATTCTAAAAACTCTGTGTGGGCCTCCCCGGTGGCGCAGCGGTTGAGCGCTGGGTTGCGAAGCTGCGCGCGGCCTCTGCGGCGCCGGTTCGATCCCCGGCTGCTCCCCGGCCACCGGAGGAGGGTCCCACATGGTGTGCAGACCTCGCCTGCCGCCCGCTGCTCCCCTCAGCAGTGTACTTCAGTCCTTCTGCCTGCTCTGCTCCCCGCTCTGGCTCTGGTGAATTCTCTTACCCTCCCGCGCTTCTGACTGTACCCAGTGCATGTATAAACAAAACAAACAAACAAACCAGCAAACAAATAAAGCATGCCTCTATAAAAAAAAAAAAAAAAAAAAAAAAAAAAAAGTTTAAAAAAAAAAAAAACTCTGTGAAAGGTTTGGGCAGCGCAAATCAAGAACCTTGAAAATACATATCCCTTTGTGCCCTAATTCCACAGTCGGGACTGTATCCTAGAAAAATTATCTCAACAAAGATTCGTGTACAAAAGTGTTCACTAGAAGCATCTTTACAATAAGAAAAAGGTTCAAACAGTGTCCAGCAACAGGGCTTATGAAAGTGAATTATAGCAAAACCACAAGGGTTATTTTGCAACCATCAGAAATGATAGTGTACAAAGATTTTTTAAGTCATAAAAAAATATTAATGGCTTGATGCTGAATAGAAAATTAAAAGCTGGATACAACCTTGTGTGCATACTACAAGCACCCAATCACAGTAAAAATTATATAGTTTTAAAAGGGATAGGGGAAGAGGACAAATATTACAAGATGTAAAAAGCACCTGTTTCTGCAATGTGGGCTTATAGGATAAATTTTCCCCCATTTTTTAAAAAAGTCTTTTGACCTTTCCACACTCCTCAAAATTTTATACAAAGTGCATACATTGCTTTGATAACCAAGAACAAAACCAACAAGTACATCTTATAAAACTGAGAAAACAACATTACCTGCCTTGTTTATTTAAAAAACAAAACCAGGGAGCATGTTGACAGGGGGAAGAAACAAAAACAAAAAACACACAATACAATGTATACCTGGAACTCCAGAACTGTGCCTTCTGTCAGTAAAAAGAACAGAATGAAGTGTGCATGAGACTGTTCCCGGAATATTTTCTTGCTCAAACTTCCAACCACATGACAGTAAATAATGTTAACAACAGTAGTAAGAACTAGTATTTAAATGACAATATGTCAAATAATAAAGATCACTGAGCGCACTGGGTGCACTGTTAAAATACATACGGTGTGATCTATTTTCTCCTATTACCTATGTGCTTCCAGAGATAACTTGAAGTTCTGCACTAAAATGTTAATAATGGTCATCCCTGGGCAAGGAGATTTCAATTACTTTCTCAATTGTTAAAAAATTTACACTAAACATGATTAGTTCAGTATCAGGAAAAAAAACTGCTTTCATTTTGAAATAGAATAATAATCAATAGTAACAAGCACTGAAGAAAAAACAACCTAATGTGAAGAGAAAGATGAAAGGTCAGGCGCTAACGAGTGTGGCTTCCAGCAAGGTCTCTGTCAGGACTTCATTAAGAGCCCTGGTTACCTGGTCGTTCTTCCTCTCTGACTCCTGAGGTGAAGGCCCAGACTTGCTGAATGAGGTGTGCCTGGCAGGCCCGGGGTCCGAGGTTTACCCCCAGGAAGAACAAAACGGCCAAGTGTGGAGTGCAGATGGAGCCCCTGGAGAGGGACAAGGAGCTGGGCCTGCTGGGCCCAGGGCCCCAACTCTCGAGAGGCCTGATCAGAGTTCAGAAGAGGTCTCCAAAACTATTTTAGCAGGCGCATGAAAGAGCAGCACAAAGATGACAGGAAGGGAGTTGAGAGCCCAAGAGTCAGCTGCCTGAATGGTGCTGCTAGCAAGGCAGGAATGACAAACCCATTTTTACAGAACAAACAAGCTGCGAGGAGTCTGCTGCCTCTCTCAGGTCACAGGGCCACTGGAACATGCTTCTTCAGGACCACTGGAGAACTTTTTAAAAATACATATTGCTAGGCACACCCGCTAAACTAGAGAATGCAGAGCAGGACCCAGCAATCCATCTAAAGTCCATCTTCCACGGGCGACTGTGGGGCAGTAAACAATACCTGGATTTTTTAAAGTGCCGCAAGTGACTGACGCAAGTGGTAGACTATTGTCCAACAGATACCAGCTCCCTTCTCAAGCCTCCTGTCCCGGTGATGGCAGGCATGGTCCAAGCCTGCAATTTGCTCACCCCCAGTGCAAGCCATGGTGTGACCTCGAGGAGCGATGTTCCTCTACCTCACCACACCCTGCTCCTCCTCCCTCCCCACTGCTTTCCCTCTAGGAGCTCCTTTTAGACTCACTCACAGGCCACTTTTCAGCTCACTAAGGACATGAGGCCTCACTTCACAGCACCAGACAGCCAAGCACATCCAGGGAGACTGAAAGTTGGCTGCACTTGGATCCCATTTCTGTGATTTACCAATGAGTGACTCTGGGCGAGTTATTCAGCCGCATTGAGCCTCAGTTCCCTCACTGCCAACCTCACAGCATGGTAGTGATGAGGGTAAAGGAAGTGACGTCAAGTGTTCAGTGCAGGGGCTGGCACACAGTATAGGGTCAAGAGAATCTCCTTTCTGTATCCTGGCACAGAACCAGACCCAGAACAAGGCTCAGTCAATGCCGATGACGTCGATGAAAGAAGCGGGGGTGGGGGGGGGGTGGTTCTACTTTTCCTCCCTTTAGATGGGAACAGGGATTCTGTGGGTCAGATACACAAGCACCGAGTCTGCTGGCGGCAGTACCTGTTTCTCTATGAGCCTAATGGTGTCCTCCGAGACCTTGTCCTTGGATTTCTTCAACTTATTCATCGCATTGGTACGAACCTTCCGTAAAGATTCCTTGGCCTTGTTGGTGTTCTGTTTGGCCAGTTTCACCAGCATTTCCCTGTGTTCTCTGGTTACTCTGACAAAAAGACAAAAGAACATTCAACAAAATTATCCTCCAGAATCACTGCCAGATGAACTGAACATCACGCGTCCACTAGCTCAGCTGTGCATAGCCTCACTCTCAGGCGGAGGATGACCTGCACGTTCCTCACACACACCTACGGGGGTGCTCGGGGCCAGCAAAGTTCCTAGTGATTCAGCTGAGGAGTCACTAAGAATGTCATTTAAAAGCATAAGCCTGGAGCCCAAGCAGGCGGCCTCACATCCTGCCCATTCGCTTACTAGAGGCCTAAGTAACTTCCTCTTCAGAGCTCCCGTCTGGATAGTGGGGATTGTCAGTACCTGTCCTAAAGGGGTGGCGGGGAGACTGTAGGAGGTGATGTATATAAACTGTTTAGCACTGACCCTGGCAGGTTTTAAATGCTCAATAAAAGGAAGCGATTCTTAGCTATCCCTGCACCCTCTTCTCTCCCACCAAAGAAAAAAGCATTGCAAATGACAATGATGCCATGGAAATAGCATCACCTCTAAATCACCCAAGACAAAAAAGTAGCAACCTTCAGATCTCATGACTATACAGCAAATTGTGAGTGTCTTCAAACAGGAGCAAGACAAAACACGAGCCCCACCATCAGATGTGAGAAGCGCTGCGCCAGGTAGCTTCCAGGAAGAACCCCTGAGTGTCTGGCGTGTTGTAAGTGCTTAATAAATGCCAGTTCCAGTCATTCCTCACACCCTCATCATAACAACAATGGCCACACTGAGGCCTACGACACACCACAGGGTCAGGCACTCCGTGAGCTGACCCCCATTACATTATCCCTAGCTCCTATTCAATCATCACAACCACCCAGCAAAGTAACCTGGCGTGTTTGTCCTGCCTTTCTTTGTCACGTACACACGGAGTGCCCACTACTTGCCGAGGCCAGTGCTGGGTGCTGAGGGTACAATAGTGAACGTGATGGAGTTTTGTTCTGCTCTCAGGGCGTGAGGGAGAGAGTAGAGCCGTTTACAGTGGAGCATGAGAACTGCTGTGGGAAGTGTGGAAAGTACAGGCACAAAAGTGGCTCTGCTGACTTAGTACCAACTGTCTGAGTCTAGAGGGTGCCGTAAGGAAACTCCTAGAGAGATCAAATCTAAATGTGGCACGATTCAGTCTGCTCATTCGTATCCTAGTTCCCGTTCCTTCCAGGAGGAATGAGCTTCCTATCCCCTCTCAAGTTCAATGTCACTGTCTAACTTGCTTTTGCAGTTAAATGTGAGCAGAAATGATGGATGCCACTGCAGCACAGGAGCTGGAGAGCAGCATGTGCTCTACCATGGCCCATTTCCAGTTCAGGGTGAGATGGTGCTTCTACCAGCATGGGTCCCAGAGAGACTGTGATGAACAGTCTCCATAGTCTCCATCACGCAGCATGGGCAAGAAATAAACTTCTGCTGACTGAAGCCATGGAGTATTGGGGTTGCTTGTTACTACAGCATAGCCCATCTGATCCTAACACACCACCCAGGATCTGAAGAATGGGCTGCCAGCACTGGTGTGGCCAGGAGACATGTCCAAGAGGAAGAAAGACCATACTCAAAGGCTAAAAGCTACAAAGACACCAGGCTTCCTCTGAGGAACTGACAGGAATATGCATAACAAAGAAGGGTGTAAGCAGAAAACTGACTGGAAAGTCCATCAGCCAGGGTCTTCAAAGATCATGAACTCATGATGAAGAAAATGAGGGCCAAAGAAGTTTGCTTTGTATCTTACACAAAATCCAACTCAAGCTGGCCTGTCTCAAAGCCAGTGGTCCTGTTTGACAAGATCCCTCTGTCCCTAGGATCCTGAAATGGACATCACCAGAGTATGGTGCCGGTTCCTTGCTTAATAGGGACAACTCCAAGTTCTGGGTATAGATTTCCTGCAAGACAGTGACAGGCAGGATAAGATAAAGTTTAAAAGAATTCTGAGGAAAGGATATAAGCTCGGAAGACAAAATGTTTGGCGTGGCTGTAGATACATAAATCCTTCTGGATTCAGCTATTTGAAAACATTCTCAAAAGTGGTCCTGACCCCGACGGCGAGCCCCTCTCTGCCCGGTGGGTACCTCACCTACACGACCTCACTGCGTCTGACAGCTTTTCAAACTAGTTCCTGATTGTCCAGTTTCCAAGGAAGAAACTGGGGTGCACAGACACACAGGAACCTGCCCCAGGCTTGAATGACAGAACTGGAATTCAAGTCCAGATCTTTCTAGTCTGTATTCCTTCCACGACTCCACGCTGCCTCCCCCCGTAATCTGTCTCAGATAAACCCTGCTGCTGCCCTTCCCTCTGCTTCCAGGCAGGAAGCTTTTCAAAGTCAGTAATCTGAATCTGGGGACTGACAAGGACAAAACCACCATGTCAGGAGTTTAGGGATTTGAATCAGATCTTGTTACTTTTATGGTTTTTAATTCATTGAGCAAAAATCATGCTGACATGTTTAGGTCTCTTTTGTGTTCTGCCAAAGCATATGTCAGTATAAGGAAGGAACAGGAAAATTAAAACTTGATCCACTGATTCAAAAAACTTAATCCTGCTGAAATACTAGGAGGGGCAGAAAACAAATGAATCTAAGTCTGTAAGAAACCTCTTGAACGTCTCTACCAAGAAGTGCTTCAACCTTAAACTTCATATATCACTTGAAATAGGTATCCTACTGTTTTGACCACCTCGAATAAAATAAACTTCATGCTGCTGCCTTTTCACTAGATTTTGTATTTATATTTTACGTGGAGGGGGGAAAACATACATTTTCAAAAATATAAATTGGGGCTCAAAAAAATCTTAAGAGTCGGACTATATAAAGAAAGCAAATATAATACATGCAGTTTGGCCTTAATAAAGTGTATTTATTAATGTAAATGCGACAGCACAGTACCATCCACACCAGTTTCCGTGCATAATAGTGCACCAATGATTAATGCTGACAAAAATATCGCAGGTCCAGGATGCAGACACAGAGGAAAGGACATGGAGAGGCGAGTGCAGTGAGGAGGGGAAGAAGGGGTGGGGAGCGGCGCTGGGCACAGGGAAGGCTGAGAGGAAGAAAGGACGTGGGTGCTGGCTCGGTGTTGGCTCAGGTGCTGAGCTAAAAGGTGTCTGAAATATACAAGGTCAGAAGCAGTTAGGGCGACAGAAAGGCCCTGGTCCCATCCTGGTATCTAGCACCGACTACGCATGGGCAAGGAACGTGACCTCTCTGAGCCTCAGTTTCCTCCTCTCTAAAATGTGGATAACAGAAACACCTTGCAGGGGGATCGGGAGGAGCAGACACAACACGTATAAAGTGCAATAAAGAAGCAGCATCTAGTAGCCTTGAATAAATGATAGCATTTATGAATGTTTTAATCAAACACACTTAATTACTTCCTCATGAAACAACGAGGGCACATCTGTTTTAGAAAAGAAACATACTATATTATGGAAATATTTTAATTCCTTTCCAAACCAGTGATTAATACATCTGATCATCTCCATCTCACTATTCATGGGGTTCTGTGCGCACAGGCTAGTTTGAATTCTGGGGTTCTGGACTTGGAGGTGGCGGGCACTGCACCCCTGTGCTCCGTGCTCCTTCGTTCATCAAGCACTGGCTGAGGTTCCTGGGTTCCCAGGCCCTGGGTCAGGCTGAGGTACTCAGAGAAGAGCAGGGTCTGACCCAGCTACCCAGAGGCTCAGTCCAGTGATGCAGACAAACCTGTGACATTGCTTAGGAGGAGCACACGGCTGCAGGGATGGAGGGGTCGACCTTCAGAAAGCACAGCTCATTCTGCTTTAAGATTGAGAAAACAAAACGCTGGAGGCGCTAGTAATGCGTCAGCTGCAGAGAAAGGGCATTTCAGGCAGAGCATGGTGGGAGATAGCATGGTAGGAGGGCAAGAGGCTGAAAAGGGTACGTCGGGGTCAAACTTGCTCTGCAGAGTTTCCAGATTCTTCTTTAGCCACAAACTACAGCTTCAAAGAAAACCAAAGCAGAGGCCCATTTATGAAACAGATAAAAAGAACTCTCTAGTTAATGAAGGAAGGGCACCAGGGGAAGAGGTGGCGCTCTGCCCCAGCCCTTCGAAGCTTAGCTGTAGTCTGACTCCCACTTGTGGACCTGCCACTTACTTGCTGAGTGACTTTAAGCACAAGGCCAAAGTCTGCCAGGAACCTCTAGGCAGGCAGACAAGGGCTCAGGTCCAACCCTGTAGCAGCTTCTTGGCTGGGTGATGAAGACAGCCAGCTTCCCCACTAGGGGCAGACAGCCCCCCAGCAGAGGCAGGGGGCTTGGCTGAGCTGGGAGGATCATGCTTTGTACAAGCTCCACCAGGGAGGTCTTCCAGCAACTTTCTGGATGGGAGCCTTCCTGCAAAATTCCTTGACCATTTTCCCACGAATGAGAAGAGGGACAGTCCCGAGGGCAACTCAGCTGAGAATCCACTGTCTGAAGCAACCCTTCTACTGTTTCCCTGAGAACAGAACACACGTTCAGGACTCTTTACCCGGTGAGCACCAGAGGCGCCTCTGCTCGCTCCAGCAATGACAGTGAAAGCCAATTACAACAGACACTCGACGTCAGTGGGCTCTGAGGTGCCTGAGAGGGGCCTTGAAAGGTAGCGAGGACATGCTTTTTGAAAGCCAGGAAGACATAAGTGGAAGTCAGCTCTGTCACTTCAGACTGTGGGCAAACTCGGTTTCCTCATGTATGAAATGGGGATGAACATGACCGTGACGGCGGCGGCAAGGATCAAGTGAAGGGATGGTGACAGGGCTGGGCACGCGGCCCGTGCGTCTGCGCCGCAGGAGCTCAGGGCAGGGCGGCTGTTCTTACTACAGAATCACCAGGACTTGGGGCATAAGGGGCATGAATGGTGAGGGGGGAAAATGTTTAAGAAGGATTTAGCCCTTGGAGCTTGGGTTATTGAGTGGCTGGTGGGCACAGAGGGGAGAAATGGGCACAGGGATGGGGGCAGGGCAGCCCTGCCCTGCAGTCGTGGGGAGCAA